TCCACTAGTATCTCAGAAGGATGTTAAACAGCTGCTACAACAATGAGAATTTTTAAATAAACAAGGCCAGATGACTTTCATCCAAGAGTTTTAAAAGAACTGTCTGTTTAGTTCATTGGACCATTAACACTGATTTTCAATAAGGCTTAGAACACTGGAGAAATTCCAGAAAATGAATGTTGTGCCCATATGTAAAAGGGGCAAATAGTATCTCAGAAGGATGTTAAACAGCTGCTACAACAATGAGAATTTTTAAATAAACAAGGCCAGATGACTTTCATCCAAGAGTTTTAAAAGAACTGTCTGTTTAGTTCATTGGACCATTAACACTGATTTTCAATAAGGCTTAGAACACTGGAGAAATTCCAGAAAATGAATGTTGTGCCCATATGTAAAAGGGGCAAACAGGGTGACCAAAATAATTATAGGCCTCACAGTAAGGCATTGATCTCAGGCAAGATAATGGCATAGCTAATGTGAGACTCTATTAATAAAGAATTAAAGGAGAATAGTATAATTTATGCCAATCCACAGGGTTGATGACCTGGAAAAAAATTTCAAATCATCACTGATAAAGTTTACAAAGGACACAAAAATTGGGGGAAATAAGAACAACCCAATAAACTACAGACCAGTTAGTTTAACTTCTGTGCCAGGGAAGGGTAATGGAGCAAGTAATTAAGGAAATCATCTGTAAACACTTCGAAAATGGCAAGGTGATAGGGAACAGCCAGCATGGATTTGTAAAGAATAAATCATGTCAAACCAATCTGATAGCTTTCTTTGATAGGATAATGAGTCTTGTGGATAAGGGAGAAGCGGTAGATGTGGTATACCTAGACTTTAGTAAGGCATTGGATATGGTCTCGCATGATATTCTTATCAATAAACTAGGCAAATACAACTTAGATGGGGCTACTATAAGGAGGGTGCATAACTGGTTGGATAACCGTACTCAGAGAGTAGTTATTAATGGTTCACAATCCTGCTGGAAAGGTATAACTAGTGGGGTTCCGCAGGGGTCTGTTTTGGGACCGACTCTATTTAATATCTTCATCAATGATTTAGATATTGGCATAGAAAGTACACTTATTAAGTTTGCAGATGATACCAAACTGGGAGGGGTTGCGACTGCTCTGGAGGATAGGTTCATAATTCAAAATGATCTGAACAAATTGGAGAAATGGTCTGAGGTAAACAGGATGACGTTCAATAAAGACAAATACAAAGTACTCCACTTAGGAAGGAACAATCAGTTTCACGCATACAGAATGGGAAGAGACTGTCTAGGAAGGA